ACAATTTAGGTTGCCAACTTGTTGAACCGAAAATTTCAAATAAAGTTTGCAACAAGTTGGCCACTTGCCACTTGACTTTTCAACATATATGTCATGCTTTGGTTGGTGATAATGCCGTGGCAATCGTTGAATAAACCTGCTCTTATACTCCTATTTTTTCGTTATTTAATGGATCTCAAAATTCTATGTTGTGACATTCAAGGCTGTTGTTGATCTTATCCCTTCAGCCGATGAAATTTATCAAGCCCTCATGAGCATGTCACCCTTAAAATCCCCTGGTTGGGATGGTCTTCATGCCGAATTTTTTTAGAAGCAATGGTGTATCGTGGGGCCTTCGATTATTTCAATGATCCAGAACATCTTCCGGGGCAATGCTTTAAAACCTACCCTGAACAGAACAATCATGGTTCTTATTCCTAAATGCGACAGGCATGAATCTCTCACATATTTTAGACCTATCAGCCTTTGCACTATCTTGTATAAGACAAAGGTAATTGTCCGTCGATTAAAGCCTATCTTTCTGATCCTGATTGACCAACATCAAACCAGCTTTCTCACGGGGCGCAACATAACTGAAAATATCATCATAAACTAGGAAGGAATTCATTCTATGAGAATGTCCAAAAATAAGAATGGTTGGATGACTATCAAGGTTAACCTCGAGAAATCCTTCGATAGAGTCAAATGGAATTTCATCCGACTCCCGTAGCGATGCGGGTCTCACTCCTAATATCTGGCGTATCATATTGAGCTGCATCTCTTCTTCTAGCTTCCAAATCCAATGGAATGGAAAGCTTTGGCAACCTTTCTTTCCAACTAGAGGTGTTAGACAGGGTTACCCCCTCTCACCCTACATATTTATTTTGGCCATGGAATGTCTGGGACACCTCATCTCTCATACCGTCTCAACCGGTACTTGGCAGCCTTTTCGCTTCAACCGTGGAGGTGACCCGTTATCCTATCTCTTTTTTTTGCGGATGACCTCATTCTCTATACGAAAGATGATTTAATGCAAGCTCAAGCAATTCAGAATATTCTGGACATTTTTGGTCAATTTTAGGGGCATCGAGTTAACAAACGGAAGACACAAATTTGGTTCTCACCAAACATTGATAATTCTGTCAAAGAAGGGATTAGCTCCTCCTTGGGTTTCTAGCAAGTTGAATCTTTAGGCAAATATTTGTGTGTGCCTATTTTGCATAGGCGAGCTAAGTGCTCAGATTTCGGCTATATCATTGATAAAATCCCCAGTCGCCTTCAAGGATGGGCAGCTAGAACCCTCTCAATGGCGGGTTGTGTGACTCTGGCAAAGTCTGTCCTTTCAGCAATCCCAGTTTATTTCATGCAAACCTCCTTGCTTCCTAAGTCTGTTTGTAATGAGATTGGAAAAATCCTCAGATGGGGTTCAACAACTGGAGCACCAAAGATTTCTCTTATCAACCGGGAAAACATTTGCCAACCTATGGATCATGGAGGTCTTGGGATTCGGAGAATCTGTGATTTTAATTTAGCCTTCATTCTCAAAATTGCTTTCTCCTTGGTCACTGATACCTCTGCACTTTGGGTCCGCCTACTTCGCCAAAAATACAAGATTTATGAAATTTGCCCCGACTCTGTGCATCGAACTACTTGTACCCCTCTGTGGAGGGCTATTTCGACTGCTTGGAATGATTTAAAAGCAAGTTTGGCATGGTCTCTTGGAGATGGCCACTAAATTCAGCTGCTAGATGATATTTGGATTCCATCTTTGGGACCCTTACTCCCTCATTTGCCTAATTCATCAGACCTCCCTCGTGACATTTCCTTCTCGGACCTCATGGATAATACTGGTAACTGGGATCTACACAAACTGTCTTTTTCACTCCTGATAGCATTCCTCATATTATTGGAATCAAATGTCTCGATCGAAATGATGGTCCTGACAAGCCGATCTGGCGGTGGAGCCTTAATTTCTCTTTTCAGATTAGTTCTGCTTATTCGTTTCGGATTGCACAACTTTGGGATCGAAAGCAACCTATATGGAATGTGATTTGGAAGTTGAAGGTGCCCAACGTATCCGCTTATTTCTTAGGCTCGCCTCTAGAACAAATGTTGAACTTTTCCGTCGATTCATTGCTCATCAACCCCACTGCCCTTGCTGTCTTGAAGCTGTGGAAGCTACCACCCACACCTTAAGGGATTGCAGGTATGCCCAAGCTGTTTGGAGAGTGATTCTCCCCAACTCCGACTTTCATCTCTTCTTCCTTACAAGACTCGAAGATTGGATGCTCTCCAACTTGAAAACCACTTATCTTCATATAGGCAGCAACCTATCTTGGCCTTTAGTTTTCGCCTCAACTCTCTGGCAAATATGGAAAAATCGAAATGACATGACCTTTAATCCGCTCCATTCTTTGGCTGTATCTATCGCTACTAGAAGTATTACTTGGTCAATATACTATTCTGAGAGTTCCTGCACTGGTGTTCATATCAAAAACTCCATCGCTGCTCCTATCCATTGGCATCCTCCGCCTTGGGGCTGGATATGTTTGAATACGGATGAAGTGTTTCTTCAGGTACAGCTACTGGCTCCATTGGCGGCCTTTTCAGAGACAATGAGGCATCATGGATTTCGGGGTTCAACAAAAAGATCGGCATCACCAATCCTCTACAATGTGAATTATGGGCAATTTTAATTGGCTTACTGCTTGCTTGGGACTATGGTTTTTAGAAGCTGTGGATCCAAACTGACAGTAAAGAAGCTGTTCTTCTCCTCCATGATCCTAAAGCTGCATCAAGCTCCAACTACCTGGTTCGAGCAATTGAAAGATTTCGCCACTGAAGCTGGGCTATCGACATAACTTGGATTGATCGAGATTGCAAAAAGCCTGCCGATAAATTGGCTAAACTTGACAGCCATTATGCTTTACAGACCTTCGATGTGCCTCCCACGCATTTATTATAATCTTTAGATTATGACAAACATCTCTTCATGTAAACTTTATGTTTTGACTTCCCTACAATTCAAAAAAAAAAAAAATCAAAATATTAGGAAAATACAACCGTCATGAGGAATTTTATAATCTAAGATTATTGTTACGCTGAATGGCGAATTCATCGTTCCAATATATTGCATGCCAATAAAAATTAATAAGAATTTTATTAAAACTTATCGAGAACAAGTACGTCTTTCAATATATTAATCGCTCTAGATTGTAAAAAAAATCGCTCTTAAACTATATATATATATATATATATATATATATATATATATATTTTTGATCGGCAAGATGAAATTTTATACGCCCTCCATCCCATAATTTGTGTCTGGTATTAGTTATGCACATAGTTTTAATAGATATATTTGACCAAGAGAAATGATAATATCTTAATAGGTGATTAATAGATTTGACAGTTTTGTTTTGATAGTTGTAAAAGGGTGACATATAAGGGTAAAAAAATATATAATTACTGTTGTTGGTTGACTTTTTTAATAGGACATTTTGAATGTGACAATTTTAAAAATTAAAATAAACCCTTTTAGTGGACGAATGGAGTATATTGATAAAAAAGTCGACTTGGTTCTATGCCTAGTTAAGAAACTACCTATCTTTGGTGGAGTAAAAGAGTACATATAACGAAGGACAAACCGAACAAGACCGAATGAAAAATTAGAAGACAACGATCTGAGAAGATAGCGACATTTACAAACACGTAAAACACACAACACAGCCCCCATGAAGTAGAGCACCCCAAATGATCCGCAAGGACAAACAACCAATAAGAAGACACAACACCAAAGAAAACCGAATCTGAGCGCACAAGCAACCAGCCTTCATCAATATGCAGCAACCCAAGCCTGAATTCCATCTTTCAACACTAAAAACATGAACTGCCACCCAACCCAAACCAATCAAACCAGAACATTTCATGACATACAAATTTACTACCATGCCTTAAGCATTTCCTGCCGACAAAAACAGCCACCAGAATAACCAGCATAATATTCAAACACACACTAAAAAGACAGAAACAAAAGCAGATCAAAGAACACGTACACACCCAGTGAGAGCAGAAGCAAAGAAGAACAATATCTCTAACACTAAATAGACAGCATGAAATTAAAGTTACAACCAAGCCTTAAACAGCCAGGTCTTGCCAGGCCGCTGAATGCCATCCAATCTGACAGTGACGACTGGTTAGACGAAGCAGATCGAAACGGCACCTGTCCAATAGCTTTAACCTTAACATCGACTTTACTCAGTAGAGGCCAGACTGACGAGGGACGATTCGAAGGATGACTGAGCGCAATAAGAGAGATCGATTCGACGACTAACGAAGACACCCCCTAGAAACGCTGCTTCCTCAAATACATTCACAGCTTCGAACACAACCTCGTTACGCCCCAAACATTTTCACCGAAAAGTAGCCGAGGAAAATACCAACCAAATACACTTCAGCATAGCCTGAAGGGCCACAGAGAATCACAACCTCGTTATTCCCCAACCGTATGCATCGTAAAGTCGACGAAGAAAACACCAACCAAATACACTTCAGCTTAGCATGAATGACCACAGAGAACATTTTTTTTTACTTTTATTGCATGTATTATTCCTTGAAAAGAACCCGGGAAAAAGGTCGTTGTTACAGTTTTGAAGAGTGATAGTTTCTTATGTACATGATTTCTTATTGAGTTTTGTTTTACGTTAAAAAAAGTACAATTAAAAGTTTTTGAAATACCTTCTTACATTATCTTCATTTATATTATTTCTTTAATATTTTTTTCACATTTCTTCAATTGAATTCGTGCTAAATTAATGGAATACATCAATTTAATTAATAGTATAGATTAAACTTGTATTTTAATAGAGCCGGCCATTATGAGAAAATCAAGAAAAAAATACCTTAAATTTTACATCTAAATTGATTTATTAAACATCAACAATCGTCAGTACAGGTTCCATCATCTTAATATGTATTATTACATGTGGCTCACAATCACATGTTGTGGACATAATTCCATGGACTTTTCTTGTTTTGAGAAACAAAAGCAATTAAGGAGGGCAGGGCGGAGGGCTCTGGGTGCCGGAGTAGGAAACTTTGACGTTGGTGCAGTTAGAGCTGAATGGAATGGTGGCCTGCCCTGTACCTGCGAACTGCAAGTTTATATTTTTAAGGGAAACACCTTTGCATGGATTGGCTTTGCTGCAAATCAGTTCCACTGCAACTTTGCTTGCAGAAGTTCCTCTGATGTTTGAGAATTGAACGTCGGTGATGCTCACTTTCGAATGCTTCATCAAACCATAGAAAAACAATTCAAGACTTATATCGAATATATTTATAGATTCATATATAATGTTTAGGGTTTAGGTTTAGGGTCTAGAGTTTAGAACCTGACTGTCTCCCCTCCGTCCGTATTCTTGATCTATGATGATAGGGTTCTTGACGTTTTTCATTACCAGATCTTCGTAGATAATGCCTGAAGCTCTGCTTGGACTATCGGATTTGTAAGTTTTGATTCTTACACCATTGTCTGTATCTGTAAACGTGCAGTTCCTCACGGTGATCCCGAAAACATCTGCTTCGGAATCGTAGTGTCCAAGGCTACCGATACTTTTTAAACACAATCCGAAACGATTCAGAATCTCTATAATAAATGATTGAATAGATGGGTAGTTAGAGAAATAGATGGATAGAATATACCTAATACCGTGACCAGGGCCACAGTCGACGTTCTCGACAGTGATGTTGGTGGATCCATGGATGATGGAGACGCAATCGTCACCTGTGCCGATGCGACTGTTAGTTATTTTGAGCATGTTAGTTTTGCTCATGTGAATGCCATCAGTGTTGGGGCTATCATCGGGTGCTGTTATAGTAACATCATCAATCCAGAGGTTGTCGCAAATACTGATCATCATATGGAACCCTTTGGCGTTGACGGATTGAATGCCATTGACGATTGCATTGTTCACCTTGATGAACTTCAAGCTCTGCAGTTCATACAACACAATATTATTATTATTATTATTAATGTCGTCGTTTTCATCGTCGTAACTAAATCATGAAACAACAAATTCAGCTTACCGCAGGCAGTCGATCGCATCCTTTGCACTTGTGCTTCCATGACTTTTCGCCTAGGCCATTAAAAGTACCCTTCCCACTTAAAATCAACCCATCAATGCTACTAAATGTGATCCATTCTGCACCTTCGGCTGTCTTTGTATGACTTTGTGGAAGAACTGTTCCGCTGACTTGAACCATCAGCGGAGCTTCACAGCTGCATGGTCCGGAAAATAATATCGATCCTACTACGAATTCGCCTTTCGGGATCACCAGCATTGCCCTTCCTTGATGATTGCACGCTTCTTTGAATGCCCTAATAAAATTCTTCAAAAGAAAATCAATTCATTAGCACCGTCATCAAAACGAAGAATCAAAAACGGGTTTGAGAGGTTAAAAGCATACAATGGAGCTAGGGGACTTTCCGTTAGCCTTGGCACCATAGTCCAAGACATTGAAAGCTTTAACACCGGCGCCGACATTGCCGGTGGCAATCCCTTTAGCTTGTTCCATGGCATGATCAGTATCGAAGATGGCCAATACTTGAAAATCAAGAAGAACAAAGCCTAGAACAAGAATGCACATTATTCCCCGTAGCCCCATTGATGCCATCTCGAAACTGATGGCTTTGTTTATTGTTCTTCTTTTCTTTTCGTGTTTTGGTTTAAATGTTCACAAGCCTTAAAAAGAGAGGCTACCTTCAAACCAAGATTAAATTCTTGCCTCTAATTCTATTTGTGGATGGACTAAATTATCGGGAAAATTGGTTTAGTTTGTTTAAAGTTTCATTGAACTTCGCTTCTAAAATAGCTATATTTACTTTTTATTCGTTTTTTCTTTAAAATTCAAACCAAAATCTATTCGTTGAGATGGATATAGAAATATTACAGATAGGGGTGACATTATCTGCACTCCAATTTGCTTCTTCGTAAATGTGATATATTTGTACCACAATTCAGCTTGTGTAAGACATTGTTTTAACAAGAAAATTAAATTTAGTAAATGTAGTAGTACACTAGTAACCATTCATATAAAGAATGGTAAGACGTTGGATGTCACAGGATTAGGTTTGAAACTAGTTAATCGTGCGGTCATAAGCACAAAAACATGAGTTGTGTGCTTAAATCAACTTTCAACCTGGATGAATAATGCCTAAGGCACACTTAGTCGACTTAAAAAGGATATACCAAATTGAGTCGACAAAAACATAATGAAACATTAATACTTAAAATAAGAAGATGACAAGAGAGATTTAAGTTGAATACTTGTTTTTATCTTATTTTCTCGTTAAATTGATTTTGATAATTAAGGTGGGGGTGAGCCTCTATTTATATTCAAGTACCCTTATTAAATTTTATTTACTCCATCGACTAGGATTAAAACACCTATCCACTAGTCAAGGTCTTAATACAACTCGAAGTTGATCTTTCATTCTTGTATCATAAACCGACTAGGTTTCTATTTATTTGATGAATTGAGTCTCTCAGATATGGACATTTTGGATGGGAACAAGCACAATTCGATTTTGGAGGGATTTTTTGGTTTGATGTGTTGCTCAAAACTCCTCCGACGTCTATATTTGTATGGGTCTCAGACCTTGATTCGAGGCTCATGACATTCTCCCCCACTAAATTCAGCGACATCCTCGTTGCTTATTCAGAATTAAGTTGGACCGAGTGATCTCGGATCTCCCTCGTGGACTTAGCTTGCTTCCGATGCCTTTGGATGACTTGCCTATGTCACCATGAAGTTTTGCTTGTCTTCCTTGGAACATCCCTGGTAAAATGGATGTCAGTCACTGTTTCAATCGTTTTCCTTATGTCCCGATGAGGCTGACACAATACATTATTTACAAGCATCTAAGATGCAAACAGAGTTGATACAACGGATAATACGAGGATTAACGTGGCTAAGTTTAAACCGATGATGAAGTCAAAGTTATCGAAAGAGATTACTTTGAAGACTTCACGATCTTTCCATTAACCAATCTGTAATTAAACCCTTTGTGTAACTCCCATGATATGGACTTCATCGAAATTGATAGTCTTGATCCACCCGGTTGACATTTTAATCTTGAGACCATTTTTATTTATTTATTTTTTCGCAACTTTTATAGACATGAAAGGTTTAATTCAGCTTTAATACTGATGTCCACATACATCACCCTTCTAGCTTTCTATCTTTTATTGCCTGGGCAAAATTGAGAATCATCAAATTGAGCTTTGTAGCTGCACTACTCTCCGGTTTGTTCTTTATCTAGGTCGGTTTGATTTGATTTGGGTTCTCATGCTTCTTACATGGCCCCTTGTATTTGATTTTACGAACATTTCATCATAATACAATGTGAGCTCAATTATGGGATTTAATGGTTTTGGGTGTCTATTAATGATTATTGTTGTTTGAGGTAGAATGGTTAATGGTGATATAATATCGGAATGATTATTTGCAAACAAATAAACACAATTGAAAAAAACAACAAAGAATATCAAGATTTATGCAGAAAACCCAAAAGGGAAAAAAACACATATATATATAAAGAGAAGAATTTCACTAATATGAAAAGAAATACAAGAGGATTTTGAAGAAAAAAAAACTTATATCTAACCCATACCCTTAGTATCTATTTATAGGGATAGATACTTGATTACAAAGTAAACTTATAAAATAGAAATCTACTTAAAGTATATTTTCTACATAAAAAAAAATAAAGTTTCTACTTCTAATCAAATTAGGTTTCTTTCTTTTCCAAATTATTTTAATTAATTTGTGTCACTTTTAATTAAAGTCAAACTTTAACAAATCTCCACCTTGACGCGAATTCTGAAAGTGTAAAGGTTTTGATACCAAAAACCGAAAGTTGTTGAGACAACCAAACTCAACAAAAAATAATTCTTCACTTCAACAAACACATTCTCCACCATTTCAACAACACCCCTCAAAGAGGTAATCTTTAGTAATGGACACTGACCAAGCCCAAGCAATGCTCAAACTTGGTTTTAGGGAGCGGTTTGGTCATCATGTTTACAAGATTGTCATGAGTGTTGACTTTGCTCACAACAATATCACCTCGAGGAATTACATCACACAAAAGTGATAGTAGATATCAATATGTTTTGTCTGCTCATGAAACATTTGATCTTTTGTTAAGAATATAACACTAACTTTCACAAAACAAAGAAAATACATGAAGGTCTTCACTAAGTTCACGAAAGAGTCCTTTCAACCAGATCACTTCCCTACAAACATCGGTGATCGTCATGTACTGCACTTTTGTAGTTAACAAGGCGACCGTGCTCTGTAGAATAGTTTTCCAACTAATGGCACATCTTCCAACTGAGATGACATACCTCGTAAGTGATCTCCTCTTTTCAAGATCTCCCATAAAATTAAAACTAACATACCCTACTCCATCTCTACTTCCCCCAAACAACAAGCAAACATCAGTAGTATTGCAAAGTTACTTGAAAATTCATTGGACAACTTTCTAATGTTCTTTACTAGGATTCTCAATTTATCTACTCATTGAATTCACATCGTACGCTATATCTAGACGTGTTCAAACCATAACATACATTTAATATCCCACTGCACTAGAATATAAAACACGTGACATGTATTCTACCTCTTCTTTTGATTTTGTAGAATAATCCGATGAAAGTCTGAAGTGAGCTGCTAGTTGAGTGCTCCAATGATTCACACTCTACATATTAAAACTACAAAGAACTTTTTCAGTGTATCTTTTTTTACTTAGGTAGAATTTACCCATTTTTTTGTCTCTTCAAATTTCCATTATGAGTATCTTCTTGCAGGACCTAGATCTTTCATCTCAAACTCCTTATTAAGTCGAATCTTCAACTACATGATCTATTCTTTAGTACTCGAATCTATCGACATATCATCAACATAAAGAAGAAGGTATATAGATGAACCATCGCAACCTTTTTTGAAGTAAACACAATTATCAAAATTGTTTCACTTAAACTCAAGAAAAAACCATAAAATATTCAAACCTCTTATACAATTGTTTGGGTGACGACTACTCAAGTTAATAAAGAGACTTCTTTAGTGAACATACATGATCCTCTTTTCCTGAGACCATGAACCCTTCAGCTACTTCATATAAATGTCTTTTTTCATGTTCACCATTCAAGAACATCGTTTTTACTTCTAGCTCCTCAAGCTCAAGGTCTCGCATAACAACTATTCCAATAAAAACTCTAATATAAATAAGTTTTATCATCAGAGAAAAACACCATTAAAGTTAATTCTTGGGATTTGGTTGAACCCTTTCATAAATAGTATTGTCTTGTATTTTGGCTTTTCAACTCTCAAAATTCCATCGTTCTTTTGGTACACCCACTTACACTAAATGAATCGTTTCCCACTGGGAAGTTTTATTAATTTCCAAGTGTTATTCTTGTGAAGTGACTCTATTTCCTCATGTATTGCGATTATCCACTTATCTGAGTCTCCGTAGCTAACTGCCTCTAGATAAGATGATGTCTCTTGGTTCACATCAATGTCCTTCATAACACTTAGAGTGTACGTGACTAGATCAGTCTCCACGTATCTTTACGGTATCTTGATTTTCCTTCTGGGTCTATTATGTGCAATATATGTAACGGAATAGATTATTGAGGAGGAGTTATATTCTCTACAAGTGTGTTATATGCAGGCCCTATTTTATGTTGAATCTACACATTCTTCTATGCAATCTATTATTCCTATAACTTCTTGGTAGTTTCATTAAAATATATTCTTCGCAATATAGTATATTAATCAAATATCATATCTCTTCTAATAACTATATAACATCCTAAAAACCAGGTTAGTGATTAAATTGTAAGATTTTGAAACTTCGTGTCTAATTTTGAAAAATTTAAAAGTTTAGGGACTTATTTGGAATATCTTTGTATATGATTGAATAGAAAAGAAGAAATGATATAAGGGCATAATAGTCATTTGATAAGAAAATGAATTAAAAATTCATTAGGGGTGTTTTATATTATACATGGAGTTGGAAGGAAAGAAAGAAATATCAGAGAAATCTAGAATTCATCTTCATCAATTCTTCCTTCTTACACCGTGAGCTCCATAGATAAGGTAAGAATATTTTCAATTGGTTGATTCTTGTCAGTTATGAGTGATTTTGATTCTAGGCGCTTTAGGAAAGCTTAAAGAGAAGTAAAAACTAAAAGATTTACAAGTTATGAGAGATTGAACATAAAGGGTTTTTAAGTGATTTGATAAGAAAGAGTTAATAAATAGATTTTGAAGTGAAATTTGGCTTGTCATGAGTTGAAATAAGAAATCTAAAGAGTTAGAAAGGATTTATAACAAAGTTGAATATTTGGTATGATTTTTTATTTTAAGTATTCTAGTTAGATATTGAAAATTAGGATGAGTTAAATTGATATAAGTTGATTTGAATAGGTGTAGTTAAGTTTGAAGGCCTTAAAGAAGAGTAAAGTGAGAAAGTTAGCAAAGTATTGGAAAATTTTTGGGTTAAATGAGTAAGTTTTGGGCAAGGGGTATCAGTACTGGATGAACAGTACTGTAGAACTATGTTTCGAATAAAAAATTAAGGCAAAATGTTTTTGGACTTGAATTGAATTTATTCAAAGTTTTAAAAGATTTCAAAAATAATTCAAAGTCCATTTAAAAGATGAATTGAGCAAAAA